TCCTGATGGATCAATGGACGCTGCATATTTTCCAAATAGTATTCCTAATAATATTTGTGATGAAATGACTGAAATAGTAGAATTAAGTAATATTGAACCTAAAGATCAAAAACAAGCAATTATTGGAGGAACATGGAATAGATATGGAAATTCAATTGAAATAGTTGCTGGTATTTCTGATGAAAATAATACTCTATTAGATAATTTAACTAATTGTTGTGAATCATTTGTTTTAGATAAATTATGGCATTTAAATCGTAGTATGTATAATAAGTTAGATACTATTGAAGAGAAAATCAAGAATTTTAAAACATATGCCAAGTATCCTAGTTTAGCATTAAACTTATTATGTAAAGAAAATTATAATGGCAAAGTAAAACCATACAGGAAACACATTGATCCAAATAATAATGGAATGGATGTTTTAATGTTTTTTGGAAAAACATTTGAAGGAGGAAACCTAATTGTTTCGTATCACTACACAAATATTGACTTTAGAATGTTCACACTGCCTATCCAATCAGGAGATTTGGTTTTTTTGAATTCACGTATATATCATCACAAAGTAACGAAAGTTACTAGTGGAGTTAGATGTGGTTTAGTATTTTTTGCAGGATTGGATCATTTTTCTGTAAGAAAAGCTAATTATAAAAAAGTTAAAAAAGAAGAATATCAGAAAAATATGGATGATAAATTGTTGGCTTTACCATTTCAACAAAAAGATAAAGATTTAAGAATAGAACGTACAAAAACTGGCAGGAAAGAGATTAAACAATTTCACAAAAATTTACAAAACAACTTACCAAACAAAAAGAGAAAAAAATAAATTTCATTGATAATTGAAACTGTTAATGAAAGGTACTGTAAATGTATCAGTTCTCTTCTATAAGATGTGGTTCTTGGTTTGCTATGAAATCTTATTAGTGATTATTGTAACACTTCTGAACCTAGAAATTCTGCAATATCTTTTCTTGAACTGTTCTTGATGCAGTTAATTAACAATAGACTTTAAAAAGATTGGATCAGAATCAGCTGTTGCCAAAGCAGGACATTCAAATCAAAGAGAAGGAGTATTAGTAATTTGAACAGTGAAAGAGGTAGTAATTCTCCAATCTATCAGATAGCTTGAACTATATTAATTCTTGAGGTTGGTGTGTAGGTGTTACAACATTTGCAATCAAGAAGAACCAACTGGAACACTATTAGGATAACTTGTCAAATAACCACTATCGGCACTATCAACATCAGCAA